CAGTGGTGACTGTCAGTTAATGTACATTTGGCAGAAATGTACGGAAAAATCAATTAAAGACATAATCAAACAGACGATGAACACTATTAACAGCAATTATTATATGATGCAATCAAACGTATAGCAAAATTTGGTAGTTCTGTATTGTGTTTCATGGTTTGTATCATCTGAGGTCCTCTGAGGGGTTGGCATCATCTCTTCTCAGGTGATGCCAACCCCTCAGAGGATCTCAGATGATACCTTGACTCTAGGGGTCAAACAACTAAAAATCAAGTCAAGAATCTTGGTGTGATTCTGGAGACATACCTTAGTTTCAGTAGTCATGTCAAAGCAGTAACTAAATCAGCATACTATCATCTCAAAAGCATTGCAAGAATTATGTCTGTAGGGGTCAAACAACTAAAAATCAAGTCAAGAATCTTGGTGTGATTCTGGAGACAGACCTTAGTTTCAGTAGTCATGTCAAAGCAGTAACTAAATCAGCATACTATCATCTCAAAAGCATTGCAAGAATTAGATGTTTTGTATCCTGTCAAGACTTGGAGAAACTTGTTCATGCCTTTATCACCAGCAGGGTGGACTAGTGTAATGGTCTCCTCACCGGCCTTTCCAAGAAGACCATTAGACAGTTGCAGCTCATCCAGAACGCTGCTGCCAGCATTCTGACTAGAACCAGACAATCTGAGCATATCACATCAGTCCTCAGGTCCTTCCACTGGCTTCCACTTACTTTTAGGATTGATTTTAAAGTACTTTTACTAATGTATAAATCACTCAATGGCCTAGGACCTAAATACATTGTAGATATGCTCACTGAATATAAACCTAACAGACCACTCAGATCATTAGGATCATGTCAGTTAGAAACACCAAGGGTTCACTCAAAACAAGGGGAGTCCGCTTTTAGCTATTATGTCACCCTCAGTTGGAATCAGCTTCCAGAAGAGATCAGATGTGCTAAAACATTAGTCACATTTAAATCCAGATTCAAAACTCATCTGTTTAACTGTGCATTTACTGAATGAGCACTGTGCTACGTCCGAACTGATTGCACTGTATTCTATGTATAATAGTATTTTCTATTCTTAACTGTATTAATTAATTTTAAATCCATTTTTAAATCATTTTAAAAGTTTAAACAGAAGGTTAAAGTAACTGCTGTGAAAGAGGTAAAGAGAATGGACAAAGAAAGACAAGTTTGTTGGTTGATCAGTTGAAAGTAGGACTATTCTTTGACCATTGTTTGGTTTATGATGGTCAAAGTAAGTAGGGCGTGAAGTAGTGGAATAGTTAGGTATTTTGGAAGGATTTTCCACTTAGTGGGGAAGAGGTTGAACAAAGCTTGAGAATGTTTGTTTGTGTTAAGAGCACATCACTAAGAGTAGGTTTTTAAATTCCTTGTTTTTATTGTTGTGATTATTTTTTTAATGATTATTTTACTTACTTTTATGTAAAGCACTTTGAATTGCCATTGTGTATGAAATGTGGTATATAAATAAACTTGCCTTGCCTTGATGAAGGAGAAAATGAAATATCCAGAATTCACTGTCAGTGAGATGTAGCTAGCTAGCAGGTAGTAACCATTAACTTAGTGGGGAAGAGCTTGAACAAAGCTTGAGAATGTTTGTTTGTGTTAAGAGCATATCACTAAGAGTAGGTTTTTAAATTCCTTGTTTTTATTGTTGTGATTATTTTTTTAATGATTATTAAAGGAGAAAATGAAATATCCAGAATTAATTTTCAGTGAGGTGTAGCTAGCTAGCAGGTAGTAACCATTAACTAGGGTGACCATACGTGCCATTTTCCCAGGACGTGTCCTGGCCAGGATTTCTATATTGCCTAAAATATCTAGGTTTTGGCTTTGCTTGCGTGTGCAGGCCGATCGGTGTATGACATCAAAATACCATACAGACGGTTCCTTATGCTTTCAAAATGCTCTCGAGGTATTTTGATGTCATACACCGATTGGTCTGCACACGCAAACAAAGCCAAAACCTAGATATTTTAGGCAATATAGAAATCCTGGCCAGGACGCGTCCTGGGAAAATGGCACGTATGGTCACCCTACATTAACTTACATTCTGATGGTATGTCCCTAGTGAAAAATGTAAATACTAATATGTATTTGAAATGCATTTATTTAATGCTAAGTATTCTACAAATACATTTACATATTTATGTGCTTAATAAGAATACCTTGCAATTGTACTTTTAGGCCCGGTTTCACAGACGGGGCTTAGCTTAAACCAGGACTAGGCCTTAGTTAAATTAATATATTTAAGCAGCTTTTATAAAAATACCTTAGAAGAAAACATTACAGATCTTGAGACAGAACAATGGAACTGACATATTTTAAGTTATGTCAGAGCAAGATATTTTCAGTTGAGACAGCTCAAACATGCATTTTAGTCTGGGACTAGCCTTAAGCCATGTCTGTGAAACCGGGGTTTAGTATACTAATCTGGTATACTTAAAGTCTGCTGAATTGGAACAATTATACATTTTGTGCTTAATGCACATTAATTGTGTGGAAGTAGAGCTGAATTCCAACTAAAGATATACTGAAGTAAATTTGATTGTGCTAAAGTGGAACTATTGCAAGTATACTGCCTATAGCGACAGCCTATAGCCACTGAGAGGCTAAGCAGAAGGAAATAAATCCATGACGCGTTCCTACCATTGCAGTCCTTTTGTATATTTATTAACACAATGTAACAAACAACTGCATGATTAAAAAACAACTTAGAACGGTCTAGAATGGTCAACAGAAAGTGAGCGTTCCCGCTACTCACTAGTGATATTAGGTTCTTGAACGAATCGTTCTTTTGAGCCGGTTCTCAGGAAGTAAAAAATCGAACTGAATCGAACTTTAGTTCCGGGTTGATGATGCAGGACGCACAGCCGGAGTAGCACGTCCAATTCAAAAAGAACCAAATGAGCCGGTTCAACCAACTGTCGAAGTTTGCCGAGGATTACAGAGGACTCAACAAGAACCGAATTAGCCGTGGCGAAGTTTGCCGAGGATTACCGAAGATTCTGATGAGTGAGTTGACGAACTGGCGCGTACTGGAAATATGCTTGTTTATTATGACTGTTATTAATTTAAGTCAAGTCAAGTCACCTTTATTTAGATAGCGCTTTTAACAATACAGATTGTGTCAAAGCAACTGAACAGCATTAATTAGGAAAATAGTGTGTCAATAATGCAAAATGACAATAGTAAACACTAATTTTTCAGTTAAAGACAGTTCATCATTGAATTCAGTGATGTCATCATCCAGCTCAGTTCAGTTTAAATAGTATCTTTGCAATCATTTGCAATCAAGTCAACGATATCGCTGGAAATGAAGTGTCCCCAACTAAGCAAGCCAGAGGCGACAGCGGCAAGGAACCAAAACTCCATCGGTAATGGTTTTATTTTGCATCTCACAACAAAATCGCCTCACTTATTCTGTAATGATTAATTCTTTCCAAATATTCAAGTCATCTGGTGAACTTTCCTGTATTTTTTCATATTGTCTACTAAACTAAATATCAGTGTTGGTTTTCTTCCAATATCATGTAGCCCTAATATCCATAAAACGAGCAGAATTACTATTTTTAGACCATTTTAACTATTTTAACAGGCTTGCTTTGTTTTTCAGACCCTGCAAAGATTGTATGGTACAAGAACGCCCTGGAGTCGCCCGCCTAGCACACAAACACACACAAGACACACACACACACACACCCCGCACTCAGGTTCTTATCCCCTCAACATTTCTACCGAGACACTTTGGACTTGTTCCCCTATGAAGATAGATGTCTTGGACTTCTCGGTTGCCTTACAACAGAGTCTGCCTCAGGCGCAGAGTCCCTCTGCATACCTCTGCCATTTTAATGGTGGAGAATCGTCTCTTTTAAAGAAAAAAAAAACTGCAATTTTATTTGTGAACTGCAGTTTTACAGTTAAAAAAATCTCTTTTATTCCTCCCTTGTTCCTACATGTGTGCGAGTGGTTAAGTCAAGCACTTTCTGACCTGTAGTTGAACACGTCATACCTTTCTCTAAATACTGAGCTCGTTTTTAGAACCAAATCCAGAATGTCTTCATCAGTCTTCCCTCCTGTGATCATCCCTTTCATGCCACATAAATTGTTCTCATGAAGTTTACAGAGGTGCCATTGGCACGTTATGGCAGCACCTTCAAATGTCTATTGGTCTTAATGCTGTTTTTTAATATATATATTTCACCCAGATTCAATGTCGGTCATAAATCCTAATAGGAATTTGTTGCTGTGTATGACCTAATTTTTTTTTTTTTTCGGAAACATACAAATAATTTACACTGGAAGATTTTCAGAGATTTAATCAAACAGTGTTGCATAATAAAAATGAACCAACTTGTTAAAATATTTCATGGTCTCTTGGTTTTTGTATAAATCTATAGAAAATAAAAATGTGAATATTTAGTATTTCAGTAATCGATCTTTCATCCATTTTCCAAATCACTTTTTCTATGTAGAGTCCGGGTGTTTCAGTTACATACCTAAAAATCTGTTGTCTTGAATAATCTTTCTGATTTACCACCTGTACTTAATTTCAAAGCATTACATCACTTGCTCATCAATGGATCCTCTGCAGTGAATGGGTGCCGTCAGAGTCCAAATAGTTGATAAAAACATCACAAGTAATCCACACCACTCCAGTCCATCAATTAACATCAGTCAAGATTTTTTATCAGCTGTTTGGTCTCTCATTCTGACGGCACCCATTCACTGCAGAGGATCCACTGATGAGCAAGTGATGTAATGCTACATTTCTACAAATCTGTTCCCACAAAGAAACAAACTCATCTACATCCTGGACAGCCTGAGGGTAAGTATGTTGTTTTTAGCAAATTTTAATTTTTGGATGAACTGTTCCTTTAGTGATGCATAATGTGATTGTGAGTTTAATACTGCTTTTATTCAGCACTTCACCACATAATAAGTAATCAAATGATTTGAGGCTTTAGGTCAATAGGTATTTTTTATTCAGTGTTTTTACAAAAATATTAGACAATTCTGCCTTTAACTGGGATATGAAACTGAATATTTCATGAGGCTGTATAATGTGATCAAGGAGTACAACTTGACATTTAGTGCCACTGAAATTCCTTAATAACCAAATCCAAACATCAGTCCCGCCATGTGACCTCCACTTCATCTGTTCTGTACCTGAAAAACACAATAGACCATTAATGAAGGATCATGTCACAGCTAAACAAGAAAAACAACTCTTATCTCGGGTCTATATTTAATCACGGCATGCAATAAAAAAATCAGCAGGCTAATGATAAAATAGCATTGTTAACTGAAAGGAATGTGCACAAAGCAAAGTGTTTTATTAAAGGAATAGATCATCTCAAAATGAAAGCAGCCCAAAATCGTCCGAAATAATATTTAGGAGGATTTTGATGTGAGAGGACAACAGGGGATGGACTTTTTCACTGGAGGAAACATTATTATTTATTATGGACTACAGAAGTGACAGTTTAAAGTTAAAATGCCTTAATGATGGATTTGTTTCTTACATATACACAACTTTTCTCTTCCCGAGATGTTAACTGATGGACTGGAGTAGTGTGGATTACTTGTGGATTATTGTGATGTTTTTATCAGCTGTTTGAATCAGAATCAGAATTAGATTTATTCGCCAAGTGTGTGCAAACACACAAGGAATTTGTTGTTTTTTTAGGAGCTCTTACTTACATACATACATACATACAGTACATGACATTAGAACAGAAAGAACAATTAAATAAGACTAAAGAAAAAAACAAAACATTATAATAATAATAATGTGGTAAAATCTGGAACAGAAGATTTATGTACAGATTTGTGCATTATTTAATGTACAGTTGTATAAATAAAAATATGCATATCTATTTACATAATTTCAATTGCTAGAAATGGATAAATGAATTACAGAAAACAGGTTATCATTTCTGTGTTAGCTGTTTATGATGGAGATGGCATGGGGAAAAACTGTTTTTATGCTTAGATGTTCTAGTGCACAGAGATCTCTCATTCTGACGGCACCCATTCACTGCAGAGGATCCATTCTTGGGCAAGTGATGTAATGCTAAATTTCTCCAAATCTGTTCCAATGTTTCTGATGGCTATTTGTTAAGTTGCTTACCTTTGTGTAATCCAGGAGTCTGAAAGCTCTGTGACGTGACCCGAGCGGAACATTTCCCATCCGGCCTGTGCGATCATTGCTCCATTGTCTATACAAAATCTACGATTTAACATGAAGAGATTAAAAACCACTGACACTGAATGTCGTGAGTTCTTTCAGCAGTGACCAACGAAAAGCCGGCCATGTTTATTACCTCTCATCTGTGGCAAAAAGTCGAGCACTTCTCTCCTTACACATGACCCCCATCATCTCCTGCAGTCGCAGGTTACCTGCAAAAAAGCGCATGCTTAGATGCTGACAAAACTGCAATACAGAGACCCAGTCTTTTCTATGAGACGAATGTAAAACAAATGAGCATAAAAACACTTACAGCCGACTCCACCGACGATCAGAACCTCCTGAGAGCCACAGTGAGCCATGGCTCTTTCTGTGATCTCCACCAGCATAGCGAACACAGTCTCCTGTCAATCACGTGTTATTTTTAGTCACTTTTCACAATCACAAATTAATGTTTCTTATTGGAAGCATAGTAAGCACAGGTTCAAGTACATACTTGTAGGGAGAAACACAAATCCTCAGGCATACATTGACCTGTACTCAACAGTTTGTGAGCAGCATCCTGCATGTGAACATAATTATTGAAATTTAAAGAAGTGTAAACAGAATTTAAAGACATCTCCCAGTCATTCATCTCACCTCTATATAGGACAAAATCCCAGAAAATGACACATCCATACCCTTCACTGTATATGGCAGATCTATATACTTGGTGCCCCTGAAGAATGAATGTGCATATTAACATCTATCAAACAAATGCTTTTACACAAATTAGGTATGTTAAAGTACATGGAAACTCACTTCTTTGCCATCTGTTCAATGTTGTAACCAGGACTGGGATCATTTGATATCTGTGAATGCAGGTGAAAATTGTAATCTTAAATTTACATACATTTTAGACAAATCATAGGTATATTTTCCAATCCTCCACAGAAAAAATACAGAAACATACCAAATAAACATAAGGCTCTATAAATTAGTGATGTTGGGTTCTTGAACGAATCGTTCTTTTGAGCTGGTTCACAAAACGAACTGAATCGAACTTTAGTTCCGGGTTGATGACGCAGGACACAAAGCCGAAGTAGCACGTTCTCAAAAAGAACCAAATGAGCCGGTTCAACCAACTGTCGAAGTTTGCCGAGGATTACAGAGGACTCAACAAGAACCGAATTAGCCGTGGCGAAGTTTGCCGAGGATTACCGAAGATTCTGATGAGTGAGTTGACGAACTGGCGCGTACTGGAAATATGCTTGTTTATTATGACTGTTATTAATTTAAGTCAAGTCAAGTCACCTTTATTTAGATAGCGCTTTTAACAATAGTTGTAGGCTAGTCAATATTGCTCAGTCAGTCATATCTGAGGATCCGCGAATGAAACTGTGACCACAAACACCATTAACTTAAGTGAATTATATGGCAATAATCAGCAATATGCTTTCACACAAATAACTTTATTTTTTAATATGCGTTGACACAAATGACTTATTTGAATTTTTCATTGATACAACATGGCACCGAGTTGTTAGAAAAGAAATGCGTAGAGACGTTATTGCTTGATGACGTCAGAAACCGATGAATCGGCTTTTTGAACCGGTTCAATGAGCCGATCTGTCCGAAAAGTACCGGTTCGCGGAAATGAATCGGACTTTGCATCACTACTACTCATCCCCTTTACACACGCATGTCAAACAGGAAACACAATCAAGTAAATATCCATCTGCACCCATGTGACCAAACACCCGGAAATACAAAATCCCAATACAAAATAAAAGACAAATATTTTCTGCACTAGAAGTTTAAATTTACTGTAAAGAAAATGTACTGTACAATTTGTATTATATTTTACATTAAATAAATATTTTACATTACAGGTTTTACTCTAAAATTGTTAAAAAAGTAAAACCTTATGTCTAAATACGTTATGTTCCAAATTGGAAGTTGATATGAAAAAAAATTGTGAGATTTTATTTAGGCCGTTATACCACAAACAGCCATCGGGTGCCATCAAAACTCCATTGAATTTTTTTAATGCATTTTTCTGTCACAAATGATTTCTTTGTATATATTACTTCTATCACAAAATATGTATGGAATTCTGAGACTCAGACCTTTCCAATGATATGTTTTATGTCAAGATTATAAAAAGTTTTGTTTGAAAAAGACCGTAATGCATTTTGTAATATGACACTTGACACCGCCAGCTAAGGGGGAGGAGACCGCCAAAAGATTTTAAAGTACCATTTCAATGGTAACGCAATGTCCGATTTCAAAATGGTTTGCACAGGATGGATCTTGGGGTTCTAAGCTTTCAAACAATATATAATTTCTGATGATTACTAAAATATTTGATAGAGAAAAAGGACAACAAAATAAAAGAGCACCAAGCATCCCACAGGTGGGATGGTGACAGCCGACCTGCATTGCTTCATATCCACTCTGACAAAGTAATGATAATCTGATTTATAATCACGTTAATGTTTGTTGATTCGGACATCTCTCCACGTTTCAGGCAGCTAATCCAATTGTAGTAACTACAATTATTCCTTCAAAAGTTCACTGGCTCCAGTAAAGTTATATAATTCATCAAAGAACCGTACTGTATGAAAGTTATACGGAACGCAGTTTGTCCCCTATTCGCAGGCATATGCCATATGACTACCAGATTCTTTTTGCACAAATCACCATTTACACATTCGAGGAAGGCTTTATGACCAAGCGGAATCATCTGTCGCCTGGTCAATCGGGATTGTTCACAGTGAGCGCTGACTGCAATTCCCTTCACCGTCCGCGTTTTGATTTCGTCAAACATGCAATCTACCTGAGGGATGACTTCTTTCACTATTTCACAGGCCAGTGGTTTCTGTGTAATGTGTGTGACATTTTTTTGTATGACATTAAAATTCCTTTTTGAATAATTGTACATAAATATGTTAAGCAAACAAAATGATTTTTTTTCTGAGAAACTTTTATCCACTTTTTAAACATATACTTAACCGCAGACATGGAAATGGTGTAGTACAGGATGTGGTACAGTACAGATATTTTGAGCATCCCTTATTCTGTCCCTTATTTTCCTATAAAGAATCACAATTATCCCTTATTTTCCTTTATGGCATCATTAGTTATATTGTTAGGCAAAGTTTAAATTCTGTGAATTTTTAACTACTGTTTTAACTACTAAGTCTGTAATGATTTTTATTTTTATTTATTTCTTTTATAAAATGAGCAAAACACTCTTTGTGGTGAAAGGAGCATTGCGATAAGACGATCTTAAGCCTTACTACTCAGCAATTTTAACATTCACAATATGCAAACATCAATAAAACTATTAAAGTTACTAAAAACAATCAACATGTAGTAAGAAACACAACAAGAAAGCTGGATAAACACATTTAGTTTGTACATACTGCACTTTGCTTTTGCAATCATGTTTTAGTTGAGTGAGGTCATTGTGATGAGTGGGGCGGGGCCGAGAGCTGTGGGAACGGAGCGAGGCCGGTGGAGTTAAAGATAATGCGTGACACCTACACCACTCACCGGTCTTGAGTCCCACGGAGGAGCTCCGGAAGGATAAAAGGAGGAGTGACGACAGTGAAGGACGAGAGAGGACCAGGCCTGGATTTATGTTATTGTGGTTTTTGTTTGTGCGTGGCAGTCGTCCGTGAGGGGCTGTCGCGCTATTGTAAGTTTTGTGTTTATTTTATTATTAAAAATTATGTTTGAATGTTCGCCGGTTCCCGCCTCCTTCTTCCTGATCTACGAACTTTGTTACATTGCTGCCGAAACCCGGGAGGAAGGAGGGACACGCTGCCCGTGGTGCCATCGAGCATGGTGGAACAGTCTGCCGCCATGGACGCTCGAGGCGGTGGGCTGGAGTGAGTTGCCGGGGGGGTGGACGAACTCGCTGCCGGCCGCCTATGCTGTGGAGGGACGGCTGCCGTCCGTGAGGGAGTGGAGGAGTCGCCGCCATTCGCCTGAGGCCGGAGCCTGCTGCCATCCGCCATGATGGGGAGGAGCAGGGAACGGGGGACTCCTGCCGGCTGCCC